CGGGGGCAGCTGCGAGGCGGGGGCTGAGGCGGGGGTGGCCGAGGCGGGCAGCAAGGGCTTGGCGTGGGCGCTGCTCCGGCCGGACCTGCGGGGGCGATGGGAGACAGCGGTCAGTCTGGGGCCTGGGACAGAGAGAGAGGGTTGCCGGCAGGGCCCCAGCGTCCCAGGAGCCCCCGCACAGGACCCAGGCGTCCGGGGCACCCTCCCCCCAAGAACGGACACCCACATGTCCGGGACACACCCCATAGAGAGGGGTGAAAACTGAATGAAGCAGCAATGAATGAATCACAGCCAAGAAAAGAGAAAACAGACAAATAAAACAAAAAGTAAAAGGAGAAAAAGGCTGACCAGAACAGGGGAAGGTAAAAAAAAGGAAAACAAGGAAAGAAAACCCAAAGCAAAAGAAAGAACCAAAAAGAACAAATGAAAGAGGGTGAGAGATGAGAAAGAAAGAAAGAAGCAAATGAAAAGCGTGCGAAAAAAAGAAAAGACTGCATAAAACAGGGTGAGAAAGGAAAGGAAGAAAAAAAGGAGTGACCAGAACAGCAAGAGAAACACTACACGAAACAGGGCGAGAAAGGAAAGGAGAGAAATAGAAAAAAAGGGGACATAGCCGCAAGAGGGGAAAAAAAGGAGCAGTACAAGAAACAGGAAAGAAAAAGGAAGAGAAACTGACTGAAATAGTAAGAAAGAATGAACTACTGAGAAAAAAACAAAGGAAAAGAGTGAATGAAACAGCAGAGGGAAAAGAAAAAAGGAAATGAAAATAAGAAAAAGGAGAAAGAGACACGGCAAAGAAAACAGGGCGAGAAAGGGGAACTTAGCAACAAGAAGAAAAACACAACCAAAAATGCAGAAAAAAAAAAGATGAACGAGATGTGAGAAAGGAGAAAGCGAGTCAACCAGTGAAAAAGAAACAGAATGAAACAGAGCAAGGGAAGAAAGAAAAAGGAGAGAACGAAACACCAAGGGAGAAAGGAGAAGAAAAGGGAGAGAAAGAACGAACAAAAGAGCGAGAAGGAGAGAAAAAAATAAGAGGCTGAAACAGTGAGAAAAAGCCCAAATAAAAAGAGGGAGAAAAAAAGACTAAAATGGTGAGAAGGGAAAGAAAGAAAAAAGAAAAGGGAGGAAGGATAAGAACAAATGGCACAGACAGATGAAAAGGGAGAGAACAAAGGAGGAAAACAAATCTCCAGAGAACAAAGTGGTGAGAAAAGGAAAAAGAGTGAGCGGAAAAGGGAGGAAAGAGAAGAAACAAGGAAGGATACCGTATTTACCCACCTACAAGACAACTCTGAATTGAAGACAACTCCCCGCCCCCCCAGTAATTAAATTCTAGACATTTACACATTTATTGTAATTTTCCATGTCTAGGATGTAATCAGGGGAGGGACGTCTTCATTTCATGCCCCCCACTCCTGTGGGATGAGTGTCCCCCTCATGGCTTGCCACCTCCACAGCTTGGACCCCTCTCTCCCCACCACCGCTTAACCTGAATCACACCTACGTCAAAGCTGGGCGTGGGGACAATGGTGGCAACGGGGGCTGTGCTCTAGCTCCAGCTCCCCCCTGTACTCAAATCCAAGAGGAGGGACTTTATTTCTCCCCATGCTGAATGAAGCGGGTGGGGGGAGCTTGTCTTGGAGTCAAGTAAATACAGTAAATATACCACGCCAAGGACAGAAAAAGGAAGAAAGAAGCACGCAGACGGCAAGAAACAAAAGGAACAAGGAAAAAACAAATGGCACTGAACGACAGAATGGAGAACAGGAAAAGAAGGGATGAAACAGGATGAGGATGGGGAGAAAAAGAGAGACTGAAGCATCAGGAAAAAGAGAAAAGGAATGAATGAAACAGGGAGGAAAGAAGCGGGGAAAACCAGCAAACGTGAAGCAGAGGAGGAAGAGGGAGAGAAATGGGTGAACAGCGCAAGGGCCCTGCCATACATTCCAATTAAAACTGGGTAGAAATGAGCTGTGACGTTGGCACACCCTTTCAAGCACTGCGTTGGGCGTGGGTTGACTCTTTTTGTAGCTGGGCGACCATTTTTATGGCAGGATAATTGCTTTCCCGGTTTACATTTATTGTGCGATTCCCCAGTTAAAACTGCGCAATGTATGTAGTGTGAGGCAGGGGCTCAAGAAACCAAAGCAATGAGAATAGCAGGCTCCAGGTGCGGTCTGCCCACACCATTGACCACCCCCACCTCTTTTCAAAATCCTAGGTCCACCCACAAAAGTGGAAGAAAGGGGGAAGAGATGAGTGAATGCTAAGGGGAAAAAGGAATGAGGAAAAAAAGAAAGAACATGGAGTAGAGGAGCAGGCAAGGCGGAAGGAAAGAACAGAATGAAACAGCAAAGAGAGAGAGAAAGAGAGCAAATGAAGCAGCAAAGGAGAGAGAGAAAAAGTAAATGAACCAAAGGAAAGAAAAAGATCCAATAAAGCTACCGGAAAAGAGAAAATAAGTTAAAACAGCACAAAAGAAAAAATGGGATGAAACGGCAGAGAGAGAAAATGAGAGTCAACGAAAGAGGATGAGGAAAGAAAACAAAAATACTGAGCAAAAGAGAGGGGAAGAAGGGAATGAGAAAGATAAGGAGGGTAAGGAAGAAATGAGACAGAAAGGAAAGTGAGGCAAAGACCAAGGAGCAGAAGGAAGAAGTGATACAGTAGAAAAGAAATGGAATAAGAGTAAAGGAGCGAGGAAAGGGAAAAAGGAGGAGGAAGGAAAAAAGAGAAGAGAAAAGGGTAGAAAGAAAGAATGAAATGGAGGTAAGGACATGGAAGAAAGGCACGAGACTGGGAGAAAGGAAAGGAAAGAAGGGAATGAGAGAAGGAGGGGATATAACAGGGAAAAAGGAGGGCAGGCCCTGCCCCCCCCGCCGGTGCTGAGGTCGAGCCCCGCGGTGTAGACCCCGGGCTGCGGCTGGCTGGCGAAGGGGGACACCTTCATGTGGGGCTGGGGCA